AAGACCACATTGATTCTATGATCAATAAGAAGAGAAGGTACAGATGGGCTTTATTTTAAAAGAAAATCATTAATTTTCACTATTTTAAATCTACATATGAAAATATTTGTAGCTTCTGTAGCATATCAGAGTTCTTGTGCCTTGCTAAATTTCTCTGCCTTGGACCAGCTATGGCATCCTTCCAAAAGAAGCTCTAGAGTAGGGCAGAAAAAAAAAAAGGCACCGTTCTCATTGGTGAAGCTTCATTAACACAACCTTTTGCAAATTATGTCTATTACCATATTACTTTTGGGAATTGCTTATATATAATAAGTATGCTGTTACTTAAGAAAAGGAACAAATAGAAAAGGTTTTTTGGGCAAAGTGTTCCATGGCAAAAAATGTGTTCTCCTAGGGAAACAAATGTCACTAATGTCAGAAGCCTTGGAGGAGAGGTGATCCACAAATAACCTATGATACAACTGTGTAAAGTAGAGGGCTGGCAGCCTATAGATGCACTCATCTGGGCCACGTTTACATAGTAATCCACCCATCCAGAGAGAGAGAGAGAGAGAGAGAGAGAGAGAGAAAGAGAGAGAGAGAGAGAGAGAGACAGAGACAGAGACAGAGACAGAGACAGAGAGAGACACAGAGCAAGACACAAAAACAGATAGAGACAGAAAGACAGCGGAGAGAGAGACACACACAGAGATTGACAGAGAGACAGAAAGACAGAGAGGAAGAGATAGACAAAGAGAGACACAGAGACAGAGAGAGGGAGAGAGATTGAGAAACAGAGAGGTGGAGTGAAAGAGAGACAGACAGAGAAAGAGACTGAGAGAGAATATTTTCTCTCAAAAAAAAGCTGAATATTTTTTAAATGCCAACACACACACACACATACAACATTTCATCTCTCCTTGTCCCGTCTCACCCTAATACCACTAACCACCCTGCTGGCATATCCTGCTCAAACTGTGAATGTAACAGACATCAATTTGCATCTGACTTGTTCTGTGTTTTACAATAATAAAAATCTTCTGCAGCATAAAAACGCTACTCATCCCGCTCATCCAGGACCTTCCAAGAGCTGCGAAGTCCCTGGGCAGAAAGCACCGAGGACCAACTGCCCAAGGGTGCTGAATCCCAGGCCACACGGTTTCCTCCAGCTCTGCACTGCTGCTGCCTATCTGGTCCCTGGCTGAGGCCCAGCCCAGCCGCACCATCAGGAATCATCCCAAACAACAAAATCTGGTTTTGCGTGTCCCTCTCTTGTGCACTATTAAAGCCATCACCGGGGCACAGGATAAAGTCAGGCCTGCTGAGTCAGTGTGGCAGAGCAGCCCCTTGGACCGGCATCTCTCCACAGGCCGAGTGTTCAAGGACAACAGGCCCTGAGGAATTTCAGAGATCCAGCTTGACAGGACCACAGCCGCCTTGGGTCATGACCACCACCTTTGGCCCCAAGTACCCTGGTGGGCTTTCACCGTTTCCTTTCCCAGGGTGCTATAAATACACAAACCATCAGAGTGGTACGTGGGGCTTTAAAACCGGTCTCTGCCACAGCCAGGAATGCACGGAAGCCTTTGATATCAACTTAAGATAAACCACACACATTCCAGCTTGGGCGAAGTCACTCTGGTCCTGACCATGGTAAATGCCACCTTCTCTAGCCCCAGCCCCAGAGGTCCACTGATTTCTAAGCCACCGACGATCATGTCCTTCCACGTCCACAATCAACAGCAGTTTGCACTCATGGAACCTTAGAGTTGGTTTGCATTCACAGGGACTGCCCTGTCCCAGGATAGTTTTCTTGTTTTATTAAAAAATATTTTATTGTTATATGCTTGTAATACACAATGTTTGCATTCACTGTGGGGAACTGGTACACGCATGTGACGCAGGTCCACTTGATTTTCCCTTCATCCCCCAGCACCACACTCGCTTACCCACCTCTCTCCTTCCGCTATTGCCCATTGGGCAACATTCAGCAGCTTCTGATGCTGTAAAGCATGCATTTCTCACTAGCACCTGTATGACATAAGATCATGTGCACTTTCTTTTTCAAACTAGTAGAAAAGAAAGATGAATAGGAAGATAAATGAAATGAATGTAAGAAAAAGAAACTCAGCAAACAGAAAATTAAATACAGATGGAATTTACAGAGTAAGTAACAGGACAGGACCCAAATAGTCACAATGCTCTCTACAGAGAAAACAGAAAGATGTCACACACCAGACACACCTCCTGACACACATGCACACAGAACAGCAAGTGAAGAAGGCAGTGAACAGTAACTAGTGTTATTAGATTGCTACATTAGGCTTGGGCATCATAAAACAAAAACAACGTATCAACGAAGCAAAAGACTAATGAAGCTAAGCTAGGTGGCAGTTTGGGACATATGCGCATTAGCTAATGTCTGCGCAGAAGAGAAGGACAGGAGGAAAACCATACTGAACTGTCACTACTAATCTTCGCATCTCTGAAGCAGGAAGCGCGAGAAAGAGAAGAACCATCATAGATGCCAAGAGTGGACGCAGGCTGTGTCTCGTGGGTCAGAAAGGGACTGGACGGAAAGTGGAACAGGGCTGGTATGGAAAGGAGGCCATAAGAAGAAGAGAGGAGGGATGTTCCTCTATTAGTTGTGCAAGTGGCCATTCCCGTGTAAGACCCCGACACAGAGGACCCCAGCTTACAGGTACGAGGAGGCATGCCGCACTCTGCCCCATTCTGTAAATCCAAAGTTACTCTATGTTAGTTTAAAAATGGCAGATTCTCTAAGATCACAAAGAAGACAAAGAAAGTGCAAACACAATCAATAGCTTCATAATAGAAAAAATAAAGAATAGAATGGAGGAGAAAAATTTTATTTCACAATAATATTTTTTGCATAAATCCAAAATAATTCCCAGAACTATGAGAATCGATAAAGGAGCTTAACAAATTTGCCAGATAAAAAGATTAATACAAAAATGGTTTATACCTCTGTACATCAACAATATATAGTTAGAAAATATAGTTTTCAAAAAAAGTTTAGAAATAATCTATAAGACATACAGAGATACATTAGATAACAGATTTATAGTATTTTGATGAAAAACATTTCAAATTGTATGGCCATAAAAGAGATCATAAAGGACGGAGAAATTGCCCTCACAGATAGAAGCCTTCATTACCGTGATGATAATTTGCCTCAACATGATCTACATGAGGTGTGGTTGAAAACAGTATGTGCGTTAACCCCTGGAAATCCCTCCCCTCTCTCTAACTCGCTTGTCCATCTTTCCCGCCACTGCCCGGAGCACTAGTGCCAGTTCCCTCTCGTGAGTGTGGCAACAGCCCTGCTGCGGCAGACTCGGTCTCCTGAATTAATTCAGTCTGTTTCCCTGTCATGGCCAGAGTGGCTTTGTGAATGAGCACAGCAGGCACAATGCCATCCCTGGTGAATGAGGCCAGTGAGGACACAGGACAGAGTTTCTGTGAACCTGCCTGACTTTTGCATGGCACTAGGCAGCCGCAGTCACTCTGTTTTTTGATCCTAGTGTTTAAAGTGGGGTGAGTACTTTAGGGAGCTTACTGGTCTTTTAATATATGTATATGTTTTTAAATTAACATTCACTGTAGTTTTCAATAAGCCCTTGAACACTGAAAGGTCTTGGGATAATAATTGCCATGGTTTATAAAGACCTTTACAGCTTAAACTAGGAGAATATATTTAAAGGCAAATTACCTGAGGTTTTTCCCCAAGGGGAAGAAAAGGAGTTGAGGCTTAGATAATATGACAGGGAACTGAGAGGGCCATCCAGCTAGATGGACACTGCTGACCAAAGGGACATCAATATAAACTAATTTTAAAAACATAGTATTGTTAGTCGTTGTGAGTTATCTTCCCAACTCTTTTTATTCTTATTATTTTTTGTGTTGTTAATTTTGAGACAGGGTCTCCACAGCACTTTAAGTTTCAAAGGCTGGGCTCAAGCGTAACATACGCCTGCCTTAGCCTTTCAAAAAGCTGGGGTTATGCTCGTGCACTACCATGCTGGGCTTGAGTAATGGACTCTAAATTAAATAAGCTAGCTCATAATTTATAAGTTCTAAAACAAGCGAGGTAAGGGCAAAATAAATGAAATGCATAATCACAAAAGGAAAAAAAATGTGAGAGAAGTGAATGTGAAAAATAAAAACTTTGATGACTGTAAGGGCAATTTATTTCATCTGCATTAAATAGTCATCTGTAATATACGATAAAATGAAGATTCTCTTTTAATTTGCACATCAAAGATAAAATAAATAATCCTGCAATAAAATTCAAGTAAAATATTTTCTTGATACACAAATGCCACTGAAGTGAAAAATCTCCAAGAACATCACCCAAATTAGAGAACTGCACTCACGGAGGATTAGAACAGTAATATTTGTGTGACATGCAGTGGGTGCTCCTTCACATGGGTGATTTCGGTTCACGGATGCTGCCAAAAAATTAAGGAAATTCCTACCTGACGTGACATGATGATGGCCTGAATTTGAAATTTTGCTCCCAAACTATATTTCTGCTTTGAGATAAAATATTCAAATATTTTATTCCCATGCATGTGTATCAATATGTGTATCTAGATAATATATAGTCATAGATACTTATCAGCTTTTGCTTTTCCTTTTAATAGATGATAGTGTTTTGATTTGGCTGTTGGGAAACTCAAATAAAAAAATAGCACAAAGAATAACTTAAAGTTTTGGTTATGACTGTATTCCCATATATGGCTTTAAATTCTCTGTACTTTGAATGATTTTAGCTTACATGCAATTTCAGCAAAACCTTCAATGATTCCAGAAGATGGGCAATAATGAATATGTGTGTTTGTATGTCTTCTGCTTTTAAATAAAGAATTTACATAGAATGGAACTTAAGATCATATGTTCTTAGACCATCTGAGAAGATGCTACTTAAGATAACGTCTCGGAAGCCCCTGGGATGCCCCAAGGGCCTCCGTTTGCTGGGATCCGAGTGGCTCACTTACTTGCATATGTCATCTTCCGGGTCCTCCAGCCCAAAACGCTCATCAAATGTCAGTTGTATCCACACGTTTTCCTCCACGGCCACTAATCGCCACACCAGGACCGTGTTGCGCGGGTAAGCGTGAGGAAACCTCGGACTGTGAATGCTGCCATTGGTGGCCACGGTGATAACTCTTTCATGCTGGGGGTTCTGCACTCCTACAGCAGAAACACAGACACAGAGACACGTTGGGACCACACGTTCCAAAAGTCACTTCGGCATAATGCTCTGCTGTTCACATTTTGCCCCAAACAAGTGTTATGCAATACAATCCCGATACCATCTTTTTCCAGAATTTATCTGGCAAAATAGTATTTTATTTTTACAAAACCCACCTAGCAGTTATTTTCACTAAGAAGCCCACAGACTAAGATAGTCTTTAAACCATGAAAATCCATTGTGCCTTTTACATTCCAATAAGAAAACCCTTAAACTGTCTTTTATTTGATTTTTAATATATTTTGTACAAATTTTTGACAGCCTTAACTAACTGCACCCTGAACACATGAAATGAGGTCATAGCAAGATGCCCAGCATTTAACTTTGGTGTAAGTCTTACATACTCTTAAAGTCAAGAGAATCATGAACATTAATTATTAAAATAAAATTTATAAACTATTTTTAAGTATTTTTAAATGAACTATCTCTGTATACTCACTGTTTTTCTGCCAATGACCTATATATTTTGGTGGTATTTATACAAGGAAGTGGCTTATATTTTGGCATCTAATATTTTAATGACTTTTCTAAGTAGTTATTAAAATTTAATATCTGTCCACTGCCTCTCAAACAAACACCTCATAGCCAAGGCACTCCTCACAGATACGGCAGTGTCTGCTTTTACATACACTACCTGGAAAACCGAATGGCTACTAAATGATCTGAATTCTACTTTTGTATCTTCAGTCAAACAAGCTGATAGCTAAAATACATATACATAAATTTGTCTTTACATTCTTTTTCTATATAATTTCTAACTTCATTAGACTATAATTAAATACACTTTAGAAACTAACAATCTATGTTCTACTTGTGGTAAAGGAATTGTAAAAAACATGTTTAACTTAAATTGCTGCCCCCCCACATTCATCCCTTATGCGATGATGAGGCTTTCCACCAGGCCCACAGGATTTTCAGATGACTGTCAGTTTTACCTGAATTTCAAGCAACTGAGCCTATAATCAAAAGAAGGAAAGAAATAGGGAGATAGAGAGGGAGGAAGGAAGGAAGACAGGGAGAAACTGGGAGAAACCAAGTAGGCCACAAACACTGAATGCTACCAGATTAACACTACACCTAACAGTTTTGCTATTCAACAACCATCTTTTCAAATCTATAACTTTAACAGTATTTTAAGGATGAAATAAATACACAGGATTTTGTATTTTAATAAAACTGTCTTCCTATAACCAAGGAATGATTTACTCAGACTGCTGATGAAATAAAATTTAGCTTTGTAGTCCAATCATTGAACTACTAAAAGACATAGTCTTTTTCACGATGTATCCTGAGATAAGAGCACATTTTGCACATATGAGATAAGGAAAGAGGAAATCTTTGTAAATACTAAATTTTAAAAACCACACATAAGGTCAAAATACCTGACCACCCTTCTTAAGGTAAAAGTACTGAAAACTAAAATGAAGCAAAAATAGAAAAAAGAATGAGTACCAGTATTATAGATCTTGTAAAATTATTATGTATACATATACAACTCAATTTTATAGATATAATATATCTCTGAATGCTTTAAACCAGTTTAGCAATAAAACCCACACAATTCCATAATATCTGGCACTTATTACATACTCTGAGTACTTTAAAAGATTTATTTATTATGGATGAAAGCATACAGTACAAGAGAGTAATAAAGAGCAATAAAAATTTTGATAGTTTGCAATGTTACATTAATAAAGGTAACACTAAAACTGAAGTTTCTAAATAACATGCAACTCATGAAGAAAGATAAATCAACCTCGTCTTTAAACTAATATTTTAAGTTGACTTTTCCAGAAATGAACTGTAAGGATGAAAATCAGGCAAAAGAGAAAGAGACCTCCAACTCTGGCTTACACTGGGAGTTGTAGAGAATCATGCTTCTTTGATTCACAAACACTGCAGGAATCTGTCTTTCAGAGCTCGTGGCCTCCACAGATACCCCAAGAGATGTTGAAGGTCTTCACTGCCAGATACGCTATTTTTGAATCATGTAAAAAGGTGCTCAATGTTTTGTTTGTTTGTTTTTGTTTCGTCTGGTACCAGAAGTCAAATCAGGGCCTCATGCTTGCTGGGCAGGCACTGTGCCACTGAGCTACCTCCCTGTCCCATAAAAAGGTGTTTCTTAAGAAACATCTACCTCTAATCTTTGTTTGATAAACAACTGTAATCACTGGTCTTATTTGCATTTTGTTCACTGTTTTATTTGCCAATGATAATCCTTTTTATATTAATCTTGCTAGGTTGTTTATAGAGTTAATTAAGACATTTCATTTTAACAACAGTTAATACCTTATGGCATATAATACATGCACACAGAGCTATATGCAAATATACATATAGATATCATGACAACATGATTTAGTAAAATTTTGCCTTAAAAAGCCAGAGTAATTTCATCCCAGCTTTATTCAATTTCATAGAGAAAAGATACATTCCAGCTCCACAACACTGATAAATACATCGTTAGAACCTGAATCTGCATGGAAACACCAGACCAACAGGCTTGTGATTTTAAATTCTGAATATAAATACGAAAGAAGGGTAACACGTACACTGGACAGAAAGCTCAGACTAGTTTTTGTTCCACTGTAAGCTTAATCTACCATTTCTCCTATATTTAGAGAAATACTAAGACAAAAGAAAATCAGTAAAATTAGCATTATCTACCTCAAACTGCAAATAGACAAATAGTCACTAAAGGGACATAGAAGAAGGATACAAAGTAAACTACAAAACTGATAAAAATTATCTAAGATATGTCCGTGGAAGTCCCCAGGCATCTAATCCCACGAGGTTGTCGGTCACTATATTCCTCAAGCGAATGAAAGCTTGAAAGTTATTTACCGAGAGCCTGTCATGCATCAGGTACCCGCCAGTGGCTTTAGACACCAGACACTAAACAAAGTCCTCTCCTCCTAAGGTGACCATTTCTGGGTCTGTAACCAAATCAGCTCTGGAGCAGGTATCCTAATAAATCAACATTCAACTAAAATACTCAGGTCAAAGGCCCTCTTTTTGGAACATGACTTGATTCCCATCAGACATTCCTTCGGGACTGCATATTTTAATCATATGAATGTGTTCACCGTTTTTTTTTTTTCTTTTCCTCCTACCACATTATAATTTCCAGAAAGCAAATGATATTTATTGAACATCCATAACCAGAGTCTAGATCTGTGCCCAGCACGTGTAACTATCTACTTTACACTGAAAGTATATATAAAGTTGCTATCCTATGAGGACAGAAGACAATTTACATCATTTTCAAATTTCATTCCTTACTCCTAAGTTTCAAAACACTTTACAAGATTAGGCAAAAATCTTAGTTCACATTAAATTGTTGTCTTACATAAAGTTAATTTGTTCAGTCTACACACACACAGGATTATATACATATGATTACATATGTATATGGGTATATATACACACACACACACATATAAAATCAATGTAAGAGGTCAAAGAGTACTGATTTAGAGATTTGCTTTTTTCTCAGTATGCCTCCATATTTCTAAAAATAAATCATGTGCTATAACTTTACCATACTCTGAGAATGCCACAGCTATAACTATCAAGGCTCAAGTTATGAATTAGTAAAAGTTATGACAGTAAAATAGGTTACTTTAGGCAAGTCACTTCGCTGAGTTTTCTTACAGAGGAGATCATTAACTGATATGATATTTGTTTAAAGTAAATTACAAAGCCACCTGGAAGTAAATGAGAAACATGTCACTGATACAACGCGAAGAGAATGAACAAGAAAACTTGCTAATCAGGATCAGAACTGGACCAGACGTGCAGTACAGAACCGATCACCGTGGAAGCGTCCAGTTGCACGAGGCAAAGCGCATTAAGCACATACAGTGGGTTTGAGCCATCGGTTTAAACCATCCGACTCCCTTGTGCAAGCTGTCTAAGTGGGAAGGGAAAGGAGCCTCGGCCTAGAACCTGACCATTGCCCCACGCTGTCTTTCAGATAGTGGCTGGACTTGTCAGGATTCCAGCGGAAAGCACAGGCGTGCTTAGTGTTCCTCCCTCTTTCACCCAAGCATCACAGGGAGAGGAGTGTTTAGGGAGCTGCCCCCCAGCTCCTGGGTGCCTGGGGCAGGGAGTGCTCAGCGCTTCTGTTATCTGATCATCCTGGGGAGCACTACTGACCTACTGACCCGGAAGTCAGGGCTGAGTCTGTCCAAAGATCTCAAAACTCCAATCCAGCCTCCATCACCTGGATTACTACAATGGGCCAATCAGAGCAAACCAAGGGCCCTTTTATTCCCAACATTTGAGAGGCATCCATTTGGGGTGAAGTCTGGTACCAGAGTGGCTGGTTAATCTTCACAGTGGGACCCAGCCCAGTGAGGTGCAGCATACAGAATCTACGAGAGTCGGAGTACAGAGAAATGGACCTGAGCTAGCTCCAGCCGCAGCCACAGGCTCCCTGTGGTCAGCAAGCCTGTGGGACCCTGGCTACACCGAAGCACTTGTCACTCCAGAGTGGCTACTGTCACTAGTGCCGCCTCTCACCCTTCCGCGGTTCCCAGCTCAAGGAACCACGAGGCCCAGCGACAAAGATCCACACCTCTTTCTTTGACTGAAGTGTGTGATTCAAAAAGGGTAAAGATTTGACAACACAGTACTTTAGCCTTTGGGCAATAAAAATAACTTATTTTTGCTTCACATTATAAATTGAAGTCTTCAGGGCTGGGAATACAGCTCAGCGGCATAAGCACTTGCCTGGCAAGCTCAATGTCATGAATTTGATTCTAAGTACTCACCAAAACAATAAATGAGTAAGAAACTACAGTAAAGGCTCAACTATGAAGACAAACCATCAATAAGCATCATACCTATTATAGCATCGAATGAATATACATATATATTAACAGACTCTCTTTAAAGCCTTTACATTCACAAGTTAGCAACACACCCACACACACAC